CCGTGTCAGCCAGCCCTTGCTGGAGCGGGGCTCCTCCGCCGCCCCTGGCAGCGCCGGCGCCCGGCTGCGGAGAGGGCAGGGCAGGTCAGGGTGGCCTCCCCGCCGGAGCTGCGCAGTGCGGGGCGGGCTCTTCTCCCCGGCGAGCAGCGGGAGGGCGTAAGGCGACCGCCCCAGCTGACATCCCAGTCGGAAGCCCGCAGGACTGGGCCAAGGCTGCTCCTGGGAAGGCCTCGTGTGAGGGGAGACCTGGCAGAGACTCCCCGGGGTAGCCATGGTGGACCCGCTGCTCCTGTGGTCACTTAGAAGAGGTGCAGGAGAGCTGTCCATAACTGCTGGTGGTATTAGGAGACATCAGCAGCACACAAGCGAGGAGGGCACCCACCAGCATGATCATGCTGGGCGCCTTACACTGCACAGAAGCCTCTCCTGATGCTCAGGTGCAAAGATGTAGGGACTGATGCTATGGAAATCCCCTTCCCTAACTATTATTATATCAGTCAGTCTTTATAGTATGAAAGTGTACTAACTGTGTTAATATATATACAATAGTTCACTGCAGTGTGATGAGGTAGTGGAATTTTACTGGTATTGTTCATGCTGAAGTAAAACAAACTAAAGGACAGCCCAGCCCTGGAAATAAGGACTTTGCTCCTTGAAGGCTTAGAGCTGTCCATGAAGGATAAAGGATATCCCTGGACAATGCCTGAAACCCTCCCAGCATCATCTGGCTTGGTATCCCAGTACCATCTGGAGATAAGTAACTCTAGCAAGACTGACTCCAGGGGCATCTGGATCAATGAACAAACAGCAACAATGTGCAGAAATACAGTTGCTTTGTAAAGTTTTACTATGATTAGTAATTGGTACCGTGGGTGTTAGTGATTAGCCAAATCATGTCAACCTGAACATTTGAAGGGTATAAGAACCCTGTGTAAAGACACATTCAGGGTGCCCCAATTTGGCTGGGTCATCTCATGAGCATGGATAAATATTTACCCTTGTAATTCTATAATTTGCATCCTGATCTCCCCTCATTTGGCACGGGCTAGTTGCAAATTTTCATTAACTCTGAGCTGGGGTGCAGAGCAAGCCATGGTTTCCCTGCTCTCCAGAGCAAGACTCAAGGCCCACTCAGAAACCCAACTGTAGCTATGATCACAACAAATTCAAATATTTCTTCTGGAGGCTGGCCAGGGCTGCAAGGCTGGGGTGAAGGATGTTGAGGGGCAGAGTGTGAACAAGACCCTCAGAGATGATCCCTCTAAAGGGGAAGACCCTTTAGGAGTTCTGTCCCATCTGTGCAGCCATTCTGGCATCCCAGCCTCCAGTTTGACTCAGCAAAAGGGGATCACAGAGGTACCCAGAGACAGCAGGAGGCCAGGTCCCACTCAGTGATGTGCAGTACAGGCAGAAAAAAGTTTGTCTCCACCTGACTCCAACCATGAGGATGCAGCTTGACCAATGTGGAGGAGGGAGGACACTGAGATTTTTGTTGTGGGCCTCTACATGCACCAGGTCTCCTGCATCCTGAATCAGAGAGAGAATGTTGGCAGTGTACACCAACAGGCTCAGCTTGTGGAGCACCAACCCCATCATCTCCCTCCAGAAGAGGCAGAGGAGTGGCTTGATAGCAATGGGGTAGAATTGGTTGGGCAAGGGCAAACTTAATACAATTCTCAAGTGAATGTGTTCAGCCAGGTCAATACTCTTCTGAACTTGCCCAAGCACTTTCTAGCAGTGTGTAGTGTCCATAGGAACCTCACATAGTGCAGGTCAAAGCCAAACTCCTGCAATTTCCCCATGGGGTAGCTGTCATCCCGCCCTATCAAATGTCTTTGCTACAAGGCAAAGAACAGACTGGCACTACGTACTAAGTGGAGCAAGTTGGGAATCAGCTGTCCAAGATGCTCCAACCTGGGACCACCTCAATCTGTTCAGGAGGGATCAGCACAGAGCTAGGTCACTGAGATAGCCTTCACAACGATCTTGTAGTCTGTGCTCAGGAGCAATATTGGGTACGAGTTCTGTAGGGTGCAGAGGTGTCCCTGCTTGGGCAGGAAGACTATGACAGCCCTCACCCCTGCACAACAGGAGCAGCACATTATTGGCTGCAAACTTGACCCAGAAAGTGGTGAGTTTTGGACCGAGGATACTCTAGAAAGTGCGGTAAAACTTGTCAGCCCATTGATGTCTGGGGAGTTGTTAGTACACCAGAGGTTAGTACACATACACAGGAGGAATCCTGAGCTCAGCCATAGTGAGAGGGAATTATATCTATGGGGACCTCTGTTGCCAGCAGTTTGAGGGAGGTGATCCTTCCCTTCTACTCGGCACTGGTGGGGCCACACCTGGAGTGGCCCTCTTGTGCTGGGCTCCCCAGTACAAAAGAGACATGGAGCTGCTGGAGTGAGCCCAGTGAAGGGCCATGAAGGGACTGGAGCATCTTTCATAGGAGGAAAGGCTGAGAGAGCTGAGACTGTTCAGCCTGGAGAAGAGAAGGCTCAGGGGGACGTTATCAATGTGTGTAAATATCTGATGTGAGAGAATGAAGACAAGGGAACCAGACTTTTCTCAGCAGTACCCACTGGTGGGACAAGAGGCAATGGGCACAAATTAAAAACCATGACATTCCATCTGAACACAAGAAATCACTTTTTTACTGTGGGAGTGGTCAAACACTGGGACAGGTTGTCCAGAGAGGCTGTGGAGATACTCCATCTTTGGAGATATTCAAAAGCTGTCTAGACATGGTCCTGGGCAACCTCCTCTTGCTGATCCTCCTTGATGAGCAGGTAGGGGCGAGGGAGATGATCTCAAGAGGTCTCTTCCAACCTAAACAACTCTGTGACCATGGGGAAGCCCCTTCTCACAGGTCTGGCAACTGAACTCCAGAAAGGGTGCCTTACTCCCTTCTGCATCAGCTCCAAATCCATCAACATACTGTTAACCAGACCATCAAGGAAAGCATAGTAGTTGGAATTGCACTTCTTCTGGGCCTGGCATCAGGGCACAGGCATTAAACAGGTTAATTAATCAGGTCTTCTCACAGTCCCAAAGATCCAGCAGGCGACCTGGTATAACCTTGGCAACCCAAAGGAAATAGGCTGGCAAAAAGCAGGGTCATTATACCCCTAGTGACAGCTGAGTTCAGTGACTGGAGCATGGTGTATGTCTTGCAGGAACATGACAAAACACCCTGCCTTCTGAAGAGGTGCACAAGGCTCCACAGAAAACTTATCCTACTGTCTGTACTGTTTAGCAACACTTATCCTGTGGTGCTCCTGAGGACTCCTGGGCAGTACTGACACTTGTGCCAGCAGTGCCATGCAGCAACTTGTGCTCATCACAGATGAGAGGTGTACAGTAGCTGTACATTTTCATCTTTGCCTAGTTTTGCTCCTCCTATAACTATAAATCTGGAATCCCTTATTCCACTCAGTGTTTTCTGGGTATTATTCTGACACAAGCACAACTCGTAATGAAACTGATATCAAGCCTTTTCCATTACATTGGTGTCTCCAATTTCAGATCCTATGGAATCAAAATACCTTTTTCACACTGCGTTGTTTACCCTGCACAGATCTGAAATCCTGCCCTAACTCCAACTACACCTCTCCCAAATACTTTTCAGCTGGCTCCATCTGATAACATTAGGAAATTTTCCACCAGTCTTTGCTATTTGACAGTTTCTGCTGGTTCCTGCTGCTGCTACTCAGCAATCCTTGTCTGCAGCCATTTACATCTGCCATTCTTCCCAGTATTGCACAACATGAACAAACTTACATGCTAGAGCTGAATCACCTTTCCCAAACACAATGTTGCTGCTTCTCTGTTCATACCCCCTTCCTGCCCTCCCTGCTCCCCAGTAAAACTAAGATTTCAGCAGAAGGCCTGCTTGGATAAGCAGGGAGTTTCTTAGTGACCTAAAATGCAGAAGAGTAAACTCCTGACTGTTACAAAGCTCCTCTCTGTTGCTTTAGCACACAGCTTGAAAGGTGTTCCTTTATTATTGGATGGATGCAATTTTTGCTACTGAGGCCAGTACCTCTGTTCTGTCCTTTCACAAGCTCACAGAGGTCTCTTTCCTCACTGCTTCTACAGAAAAGATCTCTCCAGAACTGCTCTAATAGTTTGCAACTTTTTTTCTGATTTCCAGTACAGTGTTCCTGTTGATTTGTTCTGTGCAATGCTCTCTGCAAGCTCACACAGCTTCTCTGTTATGTGAGGGGAAGACAGGAGAGGCACTCCTTGATGTGTGCATTTGCTGTCCAGTCCAAGGGCCGTTAGTTTTTCTTCATCCATTAGACTTTTCATTCCCCATGCACTGCAGTCTGTACACAGGATGTTTAAACTATTTTTCTTCAGTACAAGTTACCCAGACTGCGCACAATAATGCATATAAAGCCTCACTAGTACTTGTCCAAATCCTTTCACAGCCACACTAAGAGAAGGGAAGTGCAAAAATTAATACTGACTAAACTGATACGTGACTAGTTTTCTCCCGCGGTATATGTTGCAAGCAGTCCCTTGACTGTCTCCTAATAGCTGCTTTTTTTTTCCTCCTTGCAATGCAGTATCAGTGACTCTAATTCTACTAGAGTAAGCTCTGTTAAGT